ATTAAAAATATTTTGGTTGCCAAAAGTTGTGCAATTGGCGACCAAAAATTATGTTAGTCGGTAAAAGTACAATATTTAGCTACTAAATTTTTTTAGTCGGGGTATATTAGGTAGACAATTAAATAAATAAAAATAAAAATATATTTTAGTAGAAAAAAATAATAATATTATTTCTTTTATACAATTAAATGAAAATATTATATGAATTAAAATCTTAACAAAGACGTGTGTAATTATATCAAAGTGAGATTAAGGAATAAGTCAATCAAATATGAGTGATGCAGTCATAATCTCCCGTGTTTGACGATTGCTAATTACAGCTTGCATTGTTTTTTTTAGTGAATGTTGGTCTTGCAACCAATCGCCAAGGGGTTACAATTTGTGATCGTGTGGGAAATTTTGAAAGTTTTTCATATTACAAAATCATCAAATGTTTAAAACTATATATTCCTCATAGTTTGAAACTTTTACTTTGCAAAAATTTTAAAGTTTTGTATCAGAAATGAATAGTTAGTGAAAATTTAGTCGGAGATTGGTTTTGCAGTTTTACAGTTAAACAATGGTTCTTGAAAATCTGTTATTGTATTGAAAGTAGTATTTGGGCTATTCTATTTAAACCAAAAAAATTATTAAGTACGCCCAATGGCGTAACCAAGAATTCTGTGCAGAGGGATCACAAATTAATGATAATTTGGTTTCATTTTTTTAAAAATACTTTTCAGAAAATTTTACTTTCTTATTTTCTATGTTTTTTTGTTTTTACTTTTTTTTATAATATTTTTAGCAATTTTTTTAAACTTTTTAGACATACCTACATAAATATACCTAAAAAGTAAAAAAAATTGTGAAAAAAACCTTTCAAAAATTCACTAAATACCAAAAATACAAAAAAAAAAAAAAACGAGAATTCAGTACATTTTTTGTATTTTTATGTATTTATTAATTTTTTAAAATATTTTTTCACAGATTTTTTATTTTTTAGATACATCTAAGTAAGGTGCATCTAAAAAGGTAAAATCTCTATCTCTTTCTCTCTCTGTCTCTCTCTCACTCATCACTCTTCTTTCTCACTTTCTCTCTCTATGTCTGTCTCTCACCACTCTTTCTCTCTCTTTCTATCTATCTGTCTCTCTTTTTCTCTCTGTGTCTCTATCTCTGTCTCTCTTCTCTTTCTCTCTCTCACTCATCACTCTTCTCTGTCTGTCTGTCTCTCTTCTCTTTCTCTCTCTCACTCATCACTCTTCTCTGTCTGTCTGTCTCTCTTCTCTTTCTCTCTCTCACTCATCACTCTTCTCTATCTCTCTCTCTGTGTCTCTCGCTCATCTCTCTTTTCTCTATCTCTCTCATCTCTCGTTTCTCTTTGTCTCTCTTCTCTTTATCTCTCTCGCTCATCTCTCCCTGTATCTCTCTCGTTTATCTTTTTCACTATTTTTTTCTCTCTCTCTCTTTGTCTGTCTCTTTTCACCTATTTTTTTTATCTTCCTCTCTCTATTCTCTTTCTCTCTCTTACTCATTACTTTTCTCTCTCTGTCTGTTTGTCTATCTGTCTATCTGTCTGTCTCTCTCTCTGTGTCTCTCACTTATTCATCTCTTCTCTCATTTCTCTATCTCTCTCTGTCTCTTTCGTTCATCTCTGTTGTCTCTATCTCTCTTGCTCATCTCTCTTCTCTCACTCTCTCTCATCTCTCTTTTCTCTCTGTCTCTATTGTTCATCTCTCTCTTATTTTTATCTCTCACTCTCTGTCTCTCTCATTCATCTCTCTTCTCTCTATGTCTCTCTCACTCATCTCTCTTATCTCTATCTCTCTCTCTGTCTATCTCGTTCATCTCTCTTCTCTTTCTGTCTCTTTTTCTGACTCTCACTCTCTATCTCTTTCTCTCTTTGTCTCTCTCTCTCTCTTTGTCTCTCTTCTTTTTCTCTCTCTCACTCATCACTCTTCTCAATCTGTCTGTCTTTGTCTCTTTTTCTCTTTGTCTTTCGCTCATCTCTCTTCGCTCTATCTCTCTTATCTCTTTTCTTTCTCTATCTCTCTTATTCATCTATCTTCTTTCTATCTCACTCTCTGTCTTTACTACTCATCTTTCTTCTCTCTTTACCTCTTTCTTTTTCTATGTATTTCTCTCGATCATCTCTTTTCGCTCTCTTTGTTTATCTCTTATTCATCTCTTGTTTCTCTCTGTCTCTTTCTCTTTCCTACTCTGTCTCTACCTCTGTCTTTGTCTCTTTCTCTCTCTCTCTATCTCTCTTCTCTCTCTATCTCTCTTCTCTCTTCTCTCTTTGTCTCTTTCGTTCATCTCTCTTCTCTCTATCTATCTTGTTCATCTTTTATTCTTGAGCTCTCTCGCATCTCTGTCTCATCTCTCTTTTCTCTTTGTCTCTCTCGTTCATCTCTTTTCTCTCTATCTCTCTCTCTGTCTCTCTCGCTCATATCTCTTCTCTCTATCTCTTTCTCTGTCTGTCTCGTTCATCTCTCTATCTTCTCTCTCTCTCTTTGTCTCTCATGCTCATCTTTCTTCTCTTTCTATCTCTCTCTTTTTCTATGTCTTTCTCTCGATCATCTCTTTTCGCTCTCTTTCTCTCTCTCTTTGTCTATCTCTAACTCATCTCTTATTTCTTTTTGTCTATTCTCTATCTCTTTCTCTCTCTGTCTCTCTCTCACTCATCACTCTTCTTTCTCACTTTCTCTCTCTATGTCTGTCTCTCACTCTTCTCTCTCTCTTTCTCTCTGTGTCTCTGTCTGTCTGTCTCTCTCCCCTATTGTATTCACTTTGCTCGCTCTCTCCTTCCCCTCTTCTCTATTTACCGAGCTCTTCACTACAAGAAAATGCACTTTTAGCGGCCACTTTGTCTCTCTCTCTCTCTCACTCACTCACTCATCTCTCTGTCTGTCTGTCTGTCTGTCTCTCTATCTCTTTTTCTCTCCCCCTATATATATATATATCTCTTTCTCTTTCTCTCTCTCACTCATTACTCTTCTCTCTCTCTTTCTCTTTGTGTGTCTATCTCTCTCTCTCTCACTCATCACCCTTCTCTCTTTATTTCTTTCTGTGTGTCTGTCTGTCTCTCTCCCCCATTGTGTTCATCTTGCCCACTCTCTCCCTCCCATCTTTTCTATTTACCGAGCTCTCCACTACAAGAAAATGCACTTTTAGCGACCATTTTGTCTCTCTCTCTCTCATCACTCTATCTCTCTTTCTCTCTATCTCTCTTCTCTATCTGTCTCTCACCCATCTCTCTCTCACCACCCATCTCCTCTACCACCTTCACCACTACTGCAAATGTCATTCCACTACCACCATTATTACCACTGTTGCCACTCCATCTCTACGACTACCATTACTACCACTACTAGTACCATTTCACTACCACTACCACTACCACTACTGCTACAACCACTACTATTACTACTATTACCTTTCCTCCACCACCGCCACTCCATCTCCTCCACCATTACCACAATTTCACCACTAATCTCCTTCGCTGTCACCACTACCACCACCACCTCACCTTTTATCCACCACCTTCACTACTACTACCGCTTCCTCTCCTCTACCACAAAAAATTAGCTCTTGATTTTTAGTAGTACTAAAAAAAAAAAAAAAAATGGGTCACAAAAAATATTTTCATCGACCATAAAAATTTAACTTTTATTTTAACGAAAAATGATTTCATAAAATATTACCCCTACTTCTATCAAATAAAAGAAAAAATCAATAAGAATAACAATAAAACTAATTTCCCGCCCATTTTTCAAAACTTGACTGCACCGGATGACCACCCAACTTAATTTCCCATTTTTTCCCCTCTGCCTTTTTCCCCCCATTTTTTTTTCATTTCCTTCAGGTTTGTAGCCTTAATGTTCACAACACTGTTTCAAAATCAGTGGAGCAAACCTTAATCTGGAGAGAGAGAAGATAGAGGGGTTGTGAATTTCCTTAATCTGCAAAAAAAATGCGTTGCGAAAATATTGTTTCTCTGTCTCGTCTCCTATCTGTTTCTCTCTCTGTTCTATCTCTTTCTCTCTCTGTCTCTCTCTCAATTCATCACTTTCTCTTTTATGTTCTCTCTCTTTTGTCTTCTCTCGCTCATCTTTGTTCTTCCTCTTTTTCTTCTCTTCATCTCTCTCTCTCTCTCTCTCTCTTCTCTATCTCTTTCTGTCTATCTCTCTCTCCCTGTCTCTCTCTCACTCTACTCTTCTCTATCTCTCTCGTCTACTTGTTATTGTCTATTTCTCTCTCATCGCTTGTTTCTCTCTATTTTTCTATATGTCTCTCTCTATCTCTTTCTCTGTCTGTCTCTCTCTATATCTCTTTCTCTTTATCTCTCTCTCACTTATCACTCTTCTCTCTTTGTTTCTCTCTCTGTGTCTGTTTGTCTGTCTCTCACTCTTCTCTCTCTCTCTTTCTTTCTATGTGTCTATCTGTCTGTTTATCTCTCTCTCCCATTGTGTTCACATTGCTCACTCTCTCCCTCATCTCTGTGTCTCTCACTCATCTATCTCTTCTTTCATTTCTTTTCTCATCTCTTTTCTCTCTCTGTCTCTTTCGCTCATCTCTCGTCTCTTTATCTCTCTTGCTCATCTCTCTTCTCTCTATCTTTGTGTGTCTCTATCTATCACTCTCTCCCTTATCTTTGTGTCTCTCTGTCTATCATTCTCTCTCACCACCCATCTTTTCTATCACCTTCACCACTACTACAAACACCATTCCACCACCACTATTACTTCTACTGTCACTACTTCACCTCTACGACTACCATTACTACTACTATCGCTACCATCTCTTCCTATTTTTTTCATATCTTTTCGTAAAAAACTAAAAAAATACCTCAAATAAAATTAATTTTTTTACATTATATTTTAATTAAAAATTATTAAAAAAAATCAACTCTCAAATTTAGCATAAAAATAACTTTTCATCAAATTATACTTTTTGATCACCGGTGTGCTGAAAGCACCGCGCGCCTCTCGCGCGAAAATTTGAATTCAGGCAGCGCCAAGAAGCCACTCCCCCCATATCACGACCAATCTCTGCCACACGCCTCTCCCCTTTTTATGTCTCAGATTTCAGACAATCTCTCTCTCTTTCTCTCATCAGAAACCCTAGAAATGCTCACTCTATCTTGAGATTCAAACGCTAAAATCACTCACAGATCTTCACACCAATCACTCCCAAACCCAAGAATGGCTTCAATCAAATCCGCTGCATTGCGATACAGCTCTTTCGATTCTCGATCTTCGATTCAGTCTCACCAGTCCGATCCATCGTCCTCCACCGAGCTCAACAAACCCAAGCAATCCTCCCTCAAACGCCTCATCGCCGGATCCACCGCCCGCCGGAGCCAATCTCCGGCCGCGGCAGCAGAGCACAACTCTTCGCGTGCCATCGTCAAGGCCAAATCGTCGGACGTAGCTCAGGTGAGAGTGAAGAACGATGAGAATTTTAGTGCAATGGTGAAGAAATTGATAGAGAAGAGGGCGGCGAAGCCGAAGAAGGCGGCGAATTTGGTCATTCCGGCGGATTTTATAGCGGAGGATTTGAAGAAGACTGCAAAGAATGGGTCGAATTTCTCCGGTTTGCATCGGAAGCTGTTTGGAAAGGGGTTGGGGTCGGGGTCGGTGGGGAGTGAGAAGAAGGCTTTGACGGAGGTGAAATCGAATACGAGGACTCTGGCTATGGTGCTTAGGAGTGAGAGGGAGCTTTTGAGTCAGAATAAGGAGCAGGAAGGAGAGATCACTGAGCTCAAGATGATGCTAGAGGGGAAAAACAGAGAGGTAATATATACTCATGTTATGGATATATATGATATGTATATGCATGTGTTTGAGTATATGGATATATCATAGTTTTTGATTTAATTGTTGAAATTTGAAGATTGAAAATGCATTACTGGGATTGCAAGAAATATCAAAGCTTTTAATGAATTTGAATGTACCCCTGTTTCTCAGGAAAAAAATATGTTTCTCAAAAAATGGAACTTCAAGTTTTGAATTTGACGTGCTGATAAAACATTGGTTGTTTTATTTTTATTTGTTTTAATGTATTTGATGGTGTCTAAATTTGTGATATTGTGAGAAGACAGAGATTGTAGATTTGACATTTTTGTGTAACGGGATATAATAGCAATAAAATTTTGATTTGGTTCCTATTTACTTGATATAATAGCAAAAATTAAAATATCTTCCATCGCAAAGGTCTCCATCTCGAAGCCTTCTTTCACTACCTCTTCAGCGACTCTAATCCTCCTCTCTCTCCTTCTCCTAAGGTAATTCAAACAAAATCATTCTTAATCTTTCTCGCTTTCGTAACCGCTCGAGCCAGATCCATTTCAAAGAAATAGTATATAGTGTTTGAGTTGAGAATACATTGTTCAAATTTGATTTGAAAATTTTGAGAATGCTGAAAATGTATTTAAGCTTTACTTGTTTACTGTTCAAGTCGATTTAGTAATGGATTGTTGAAATTTGATTTGAAAAACTTGAAGATATTTAAATTGTATTTAAGCTTGAGTTGGTCACTGATTAAGTCAGATCTCAAATGAAAAAATATGAATGTAACATTCAAAAACTAATGGTAAATTAATGATAAATTATATAAATATTAATAATTATAATTTTTTCATTCGTATTATCCAAACTCTAAGCTGTGTGTGGGCCACCACCATATTTACAGTGTCCCAACTCTTTGGTAAGCTGAGACAAGTTATTAATAGGCAAAGTTAGGGAAGTGCTAAACATGGAATTAGATACAGATATAGGATTATTTTATAGATATAGGATTTTGGAATTAGAGATAATTTACGGTGTCCATCTGTAAAGCTATCCTAATCTTTCAAAAGATACCATGGGATATATCATCATACATATATCTATTGACTATATATGTTTTTCTTTTTTTGATGTATATAGATATAGGATTTTGGAGGGGATTTGAGAAAAAATTAGAGATGATTGGGGTTCAGAAGGAGTCTTAAAGGATGAAGAGGCTCTGTGTTTAGATGCAACACATTATGGAAATGTTGCAAGGTTTATTAATCATAGGTAAGTTCAACAAAACACAGAAGCGCATATGCCCTTGTGGCTTCCTCTTAATTAAATTATAGGTTTATTATGGATTGAATGAATTATTAGGAATTACAGGTGTATTGTTTTCTTGCTTTTGGCGACCAATTTATTAGTCGCGACAAATAAATAATTTTTTTTCGTAAAAAATGACAATTGCCGACCAAGAGTTTTGGTCGCAAAAAATACATCTATTGCCGACCAAAACAACACTTGGTCGTGGAATCTCACTTTTGCCGACCAAAAGTTTTGGTCGCGAAAAGTAACAAATAGCGACCAAATTTTTTGGTCGTAGAAACTATTATTTAGCGACGAAGAAGTTTTGGTCGTGGAATGTAATTTTTGCCGACCAATTTTGTTGGTCGTTGAAAGTAATTTTTGCCGACCAATTTTGTTGGTCGTTGAAAGTAATTTTTGCCGACCAATTTTGTTGGTCGTTGAAAGTAATTTTTGCCGACCAATTTTGTTGGTCGTTGAAAGTAATTTTTGCCGACCAATTTTGTTGGTCGTTGAAAGTAATTTTTGCCGACCAATTTTGTTGGTCGTTGAAAGTAATTTTTGCCGACCAAATTAGCAACTAACATGTATGGTCGTTGAATGTAATTTTTGCCGACCAAAGTCTTTTCGCGACTAAATAGGTTAGTCGCGATAATTATATGTTTAGCGACCAACAATTTAGTCGCTAAATAGAACGTTTTGCCGACTAAAAATCTTTTTAGTCGCTAATTACTTTCCGCGACCCTCAATTGCCGACCGACTTGGCGACCAAAAAAATTGGTCGGGAATATGTTTTGCCGACCAAAAATTGGACTTTTGCAGACCAAATCTTTAGTCGGCAAATGTGTTTATTCTTGTAGTGACTACTCTTTTTTTACTAATGATACAATTGACTGAAATTAATATATATGATAGGTAGACAATTAAATAAATAAAAATAAAAATATATTTTAGTAGAAAAAAATAATAATATTATTTCTTTTATACAATTAAATGAAAATATTATATGTATTAAAATCTTAACAAAGACGTGTATAATTATATCAAAGTGAGATTAAGGAATAAGTCAATCAAATATGAGTGATGCAGTCATAATCTCCCGTGTTTGACGATTGCTAATTACAACTTGCATTGTTTTTTTTAGTGAATGTTGGTCTTGCAACCAATCGCCAAGTGGTTACAATTTGTGATCGTGTGGGAAATTTTGAAAGTTTTTCATATTACAAAATCATCAAATGTTTAAAACTATATATTCCTCATAATTTGAAACTTTTACTTTGCAAAAATTTTGAAGTTTTGTATCAGAAATGAATAGTTAGTGAAAATTTAGTTGGAGATTGGTTTTGCAGTTTTACAGTTAAACAATGGTTCTTGAAAATCTGTTATTGTATTGAAAGTAGTATTTGGGCTATTCTATTTAAACCAAAAAAATTATTAAGTACGCCCAATGGCGTAACCAGGAATTCTGTGCAGAGGGGTCATAAATTAATGATAATTTGGTTTCATTTTTTTAAAAATACTTTTCAGAAAATTTTACTTTCTTATTTTTTATATTTTTTTGTTTTTACTTTTTTTTATAATATTTTTAGCAATTTTTTTTTTTTACTTTTTAGACATACCTACATAAATATACCTAAAAAGTAAAAAAATTTGTGAAAAAAACCTTTCAAAAATTCACTAAATACCAAAAATACAAAAAAAAAAAAAACGAGAATTCAATACATTTTTTGTATTTTTATGTATTTATTAATTTTTTAAAATATTTTTTCACAGATTTTTTATTTTTTAGATACATCTAAGTAAGGTGCATCTAAAAAAGTAAAAAAAAAATGTTTAAAATTTAAAAACATTCACTAAAAACAAAAAAAGATGAAAATCAAAAAACTTAATCCAAAAAACTCAAACCAAATACACTAATTAATTAATTTTTTTTTTTATAATAAACAACAATGAGATGTTACTAAACTTAAATGTTAAGAGTTCATTTGGGTGAATGTGAATTTTAAATTAAAAGATTTGAGATTAAATTTTATACAAATTTTGCGGAGTAACTATTTTATAGGTGGAGAAAAATTAAAAAGGAAGATACGTTGAGACAGAAATTCTATAAAACATACCGCAAAAAAGTTGTCTATCATATGTCGCAATTATGATCTTCGTGGTCTTTAGTTATAACACATTATAGTGTTAGATATAATTTAGTTATAACTTCTTGTGGTTAATATTTTTAGTTATGACTATATATCAAGTAATAGTTAGTTATAACTCATTCTGATATTAGTTATGACCTATTATAATTTTTTATTTATTTATTTTTATTTATAATTAAAGATGTGTTGCTTGATTATAATTTATATAGTAATAATTTTAGTTATGAACGGAAATAACACATGAAGGATAAACTCTACATGTCAAATGTAACTAACAATCCAATAAATTCTATATCTTCATTGAAATTAATTATGTTTGCATGTCAATAATGATAGACATCACCATTATATTGAAATTTTTATAGATAATAATATGATTTATTATAGCCTCTTTATTTTCAATCAAAATTATTCTCATAATTTTATAAATGTCATTGACATTTCACTTTAAATAATATTTTTATAATTTTTTTATTTAATATATTTTCTTTATGTTAAAAAAAAAAATTCCAAAACTCAGGGGGGCACGTGACCCCTTGAGCCCAACGTGGCTCCGCCCCTAAGTACGCCCAAATATAATTTTATAATTTTAATTCCTATTATATCTTAATACAAATTTATTAATAAAGACAACGCATATTAAATTTTAAAATAAAATATTAATTTTTTTATAGTATACCTTAATCACATATATGTATTTTTCATATTCTTTCTCAAATTTCAATTTATGTTTTTTTTCTTCTTCTTTCTTAAGTGGCGGTGCATTTTCCCATTCAATCATTTTGCCAAACACATAGGAATAAATAGTACAACAACAAAACAAGAAAGAGACAAAAAATAATTGAATGGGAAAATGTTTGAAACTCCCATTCCACCTGGGTGAAGCATACTCCAATCTGGGTGAAGCTCCCATTCCACCATCCGACTTGGAGAACAATGGTCCCGTTTGGTAGAGCTGTGAGAAAGTGATTATAACTTATAGTATAACAACTTATACCTTATAACTATAAACATAAGCTGCTTTTTGATTTATAAATTAAGATTTTCCTTCCCTACTCAAAGAATAAGTTGATTTTTGACTTACAAAAAGCTATAAGTTATATTATTAAGATGAACCAAACACATCAAAATAACTTAAATTAAACTAAAAACTGAAATAAACTGAAAATAAGCTCTACGAAACAGGTCCAATAAACCATCTAGACCCACAAACATTGAAACTCACAGTACCCATCTGCTTAAAATTTCACTAAAATCGATATACATATTCTATGAAGAGTAATATTATAAAATTTTACTAAAATCGAGATATACATATTCTGTAAATAGTAATGTTATACAAAAATTGTAAATGATTGACAATATTCACCTTATACCAATACACACATATTACACATGAACGTATCATACATAAACCTATTCCTATAAATATCAGTATTTGTAAAGAAGATTTGAAACCTCATTCCTCTTATTAGTTTTACAGATCAATGCATAGTATATATACAACAACCTAACCTCTTTTACTTAAGGCTAACTATGATAAGTTAACTCTAACTAACCATACTAACTCTAACTAACTTCTAACTAATTTTGTTACAATAATATCAGACAGATCTTATAATGGATATGGAATGATTGCACTGGACTTAGCTTGTAGCTTCTCACACGTGGATGTGGATGATGAAGTCTGCGCTCTGAATGAAAACATAGTCTGTTTGAACTGCTGCTGAGCCTTGGGCTGTTTGAGCTGTTGCTGCTGGATCTTGGTTTGAGCTATACTTTCATTACACCCTTGCAAGTTCATAGGAGAAGAAAGCACCATGAGCTTGTCATGAAGAAAATGAAACCGAGAAACTAGTAAAGCCTTTGTAAAAAGATCAGTGAGCTGATCAGAGGAGGCAACATGCTTGACAAAGATTTGTTTAGAGGCAACTCATTCTCGAATATAATAATAATCAACAACAATGTGTGGACGTTCCCGAACGTCCCGGGAGGGAAATCCCGTGTTGTTCATTTGGGGTCACTACAGTTCAGGACTCAATGTCACGGTCCTGTATCTAATCTCGCAGAGTGCAATGCAAGACCGATAAAATCATCAAAGAGTCCAAATCCGGCAAATCGTTTTTGAAAACAAAATTTTGAAAGAAGTGCCAAACATGGACTGCTTTGCCAGATACAGAGTCGCCACCTAAATATTTTATTTTGGGAAATTTAGGAAACCCTGACTCGTTGCCTAAGGCCACGTGTCCGTCATCACCAAAGTTGCCTCGGCTCAGGAACTTGGGTACGATTGGGGAAGGTCACTTCGTGAGCACCCCTGCTCGCCCGATGAAAGATCGGCCTCTACTAACCATGATATCAAGTTTTGAAAATACCATGCGTTCTTATTCCGGTTATTAGCCTAGATTTACTATGTGGTACGCACAGCATACAAGTATAGACTGGGTCGCCTGAATTGGAACGAAACATCTCATGTTTGTTTTGAAAACGGTTTGCTACTCGCAAGTAGGCTAAAATGTGGATTTGCCACCCTTAGGTGGGCTTAGAAAACAAGATGATTTGCCACTATCTAGTGGGCTTAAAACTCGCATTTAATGAATTGTTCCAATCCAAATAACCCAACCTTCACCCACAGGTATTCAGGCAGTTATATCACATAAGCAAATAGCCTCATGGTAAGCATGCTATCATGGCAGTCACTCACACGCATGCAAGGATGCTAAAGCATAAAACTTACCGAGTACTCCAAGCCAAAACAGAAGCTATGTTAGAAATCCATGCATGATCCTAACTATACAGAAATGCCTAATGCAACACATGTAAAATGCAACTAAGATAGGCTCGGATATTCTAAAGATGGCATGTGAAATGCTAC